ATATGTTTGAGATAAGAAGCCAGTCGGGCTGATAGATAAACATCTACAAATCACAAAAACTTCCAAAATTTATGTAGAACACCGATTAGTGTGACAAACAGAAATAACAACATGTTTTTATCTGTATTCACGAGTTCTTCGCAAGGAACGATCGTCATGTTTCCTTTCGCGACTACGGCTTCGGCTGCGCCTGGGACGCTTCCGCTTATCCTTTTCTTCATCTAACTGTTGATCCTCTTGTTTCCTTCGTTCACGCCTACGTTCACGTTCCCTTTCACGACGTTCCATCTCTTCCACATACAAGATTTCATCGCGTATCTGAGACATCAAGTATGACTGGTTTGCAAGTGAACCATTAGCAAGTCTGATGACTGAAAGACCATCTCGGCATTTGTTAGAGCATACCATCAGGACTTCACTTACATACAGAAGAAGAATGTCTATGCACTTACCCGTCTTTCCTTCTCCATTTCCTTTCTCTTCTCTTCTTGTTCCTCTTTCAACTCTTCAACCGTCTGCCGCAAGGCCTTCTTCATTTTAAGCTTGATTTTTCTGGCAATCTCTTTCTGAACAGAAATCGCTAGAGGATCCTTTTGTGAACAAAAGGCTAATATATCCTCTGTTTCGAACGCACGCACTCGCCGTGTCTGCGGCGTCCGCGACGCGCGACTAAAACGTATTGAGACAAGTGTTTCAGCTCGCGTCGCGTGCGCTACAGTGATGGCTGGTCCGTGCGGTTGGTAGATTACACATACCTTCTCTTCTTCATCAGAGTCTGGATGGGTCTCTTTTGCACCAGCAGCTCGATTTTCCCTGAATATCAAGTCACAATAACGTTTGAAAATGGTCATGGTGGATTCGGTTTGTTTACTCACCTCACCATCCTCTTGGTTCTATTTATTCGTCGTTTGCGATTTTCGATCTCAATACGCTCCTTTTCAGACTCAGACATGCTTGATCTACAATGAAAATTTCAAACTATAAACAACAGACTCCTTCATACTTCTGTAAACTATGCGTCACCTTATTTCCAGCATATCGTAATCATCCGCACTAGTGGACTTCGACTTTGAAACAGGCTCATGCCTGTAATTTGATGATCCGTGTCCCGACTCTTCTCGATGATCGCGAAATAACGGCCTGTATTAAATCAGATATAAGTAATGGGACGTGATAAACAGATCTGCTCACCTGTCAGGTGTAGCGCGAGTTTTTCGCGAATCGCGTGATCGCGAGCGGCTATGACGCCTATAGTCACGATCTCTGCTGCGACTTCTGGAATAGCGCGATCTCCGTTGTCGATCACGCGAACGAGAACGGGAACGAGAACGATGTCTGGATCGACTCGATGATCTCGAACGTGAACTAAACAACTAATTCTATCACAACAATAACTAATCCTATCAAATTACAACAGTGGTGGTGGAATATGGGGCCAAATTTTAGATAGAGAGTGTTAAAAGCTGAAGCACATACCGCCTTCTGTCACGAGTTCTGCTCCTACTCCTGCTCCTACTTCTGCTTCCGCTTCTTGACCTGCTCCTGCTCCTACTTCTACTCCTGCGGTCACTCCCTCGCCCGGCCAGCAAAAGCTGATCAGGACTTTCTGATCGCTTCGTAAGGTCGCTGTAACAACGATCAAGACCAATTGGTAATGAGCAATCAATTACTTATGCCAGCAAAATTTGGAAAACTTACAACATTCGACGATATTCTTTCGTAGGCAACTGTGGACCAACAACAGCAGTGACTACTGGCTTTTCTTCCTCTTCTTCTTCATCTGAAAAAACATAG